GATTACCATTGATTTCATGACATTTATAATGTCCCATCTGTCAAATATCTTGCATGCTGAAATTGAGTTGCTGGAGGAATTAGGCTACTCCCCTAATGAGGGGGAGAACTCCAACATCACGGAATATAGGACACGCCTGTATGTAGCTTTTCATTTGGCTGAAAGTATATCATGTGAGTTCAATAATTAAATGCTGCTTTTTAACCCCCCTCACTCTTTTTTTCTTCTTTCTTTTCTTCTTCACATGCCTCTTGGCTATTTCCAGCTTCATCTGCTTTTAAAGATCATTTTTTAACCAATTTACCTATATCCTACAGCGTTTACATTTGGTCCTCAATTTTATTTAGTCAAGCATTTTCTTTCTTTCAAATTCAGATGCAGGTCTTTTTTTTTTTTTTTTTTTTTTTTTTTTTTTTTTTTTTTTTTTTTTTTTTTTTTTTTTTTTTTCTTTTTTTTTTTTTTTTTTTTTTTTTTTTTTATATTTTGATCCAGGAAAGTAGCTTCATTACATCTATTCAAGAAATATTCCAGTTATTGTTCTTAAAATGGACCCCAAAAAAATCAAACAACAAAACAACCCGTTTTAAGATTGAATACGTGCACTATTCATGCTCAATCTCTTGGTAATTTATAACTAGAAGGTTCTCAAACCGCCTTGACTTTTTACAGTACTATTTAAGAAATGAACAGGGATTTTGAGCTGTTGGCATGCACAGCCCTGGCAACATACATCTTGCGACTGACATGGTTCCAGCTCTTAAAACATAAAATATTCTTGTTATAAGGATCATCGTTAATTTTTGTTTTGTCCTTAAACCATTTTTGTTTAAAAATGTATTTCGCCAACTAAGGAATTTTGATAAGCATTTAGAGCTTCCCATGGGCAAGAAATCATAACATAGTTGATGTACAATTTTTGTAGACTTGTGGGATTTTGACTACGCTACTTATTGTCAGAACTTGTCATGCATTAAGATAAATAAAATGATGTCTCTTCAGTTTCCCTGGATATGTATGATAGCACTGTCACAACACAGGCATGTATGATAGCACTAGCACAACATGGGCATTTATGACAGCACTAGCACAACACGGGCATGGGCATGTATGATAGCACTAGCACAACACGGGCATGTATGATAGCACTGTCACAACACTGGCATGTATGATAGCACTGTCACAACACAGGCATGTATGATGGCACTAGCACAACATGGGCATGTATGATAGCACTGTCACAACACAGGCATGTATGATAGCACTAGCACAACACGGGCATTTATGACAGCACTAGCACAACACAGGCATGTATGATAGCACTGTCACAACACAGGCTTGTATGATAGCACTAGCACAACACAGGCATGTATGACAGCACTAGCAAAACACATGCATTTATGATAGCACTAGCACAACATGTGCATGTATGACGGCTCTAGCACAACATGGCACAATCTATGTGCTTCAAAATACCATCTTGCAGACCTTGGATTCATTGGCCTCTCCTTGCTTGTTCCACTGTGTTGCTCTTGTACAGGAAGCTCCTTATATTTCTCAGATTCTATATTAGTGGCAGTGGCACTTGGTGTGGTTGCTTTGTCCATTTCCATCCTTCACATGCTCTCTTCATTCAGGTACTATTTTTTTTTTTTTACAAGGGTAAAGAGAACTTCAATGATTAGTAGCTAGGTGTTGACATTTCTTATAAGTTTCAAACGTGTCATCAAATAACTGAACAGGCAAAACCATTTCTTAAGAGTTTCACCTCATGATTTAAGGTTATGGGTCATCTTGGCAGTGTTGGTGTTACCCTAATATCTAAAAGGGCATTATGAGGAAGCACATTTTGGCTATTTTCCCTCAATAGAGGAATTCATTGTCAATGACTAAAGCATTGACCTGCCTCTGGTGGGGATTGTCTAGCTTGTGAGTCCAAATCAACCATGATCACCTTAATCATAGGTGGAGATTAGAGAGCACACCAGCCTCTCTTCACAGTTAGCATTTATTGGTAAAGTGGGTGGACAAATTTTTGTATCTTCAAGGCTTTATGTTGAGGTTAGAATATCCAAGATGGCTACTTATCTATTTATAAGATTTTTGTATGCGACACTCGTCAATTTTTAGCAGTTACGATATGAACTTCAGGCATCTTTACACGTTATTGAAATATAAATTCTAAAAATAACAATTTTTTTCTCATCATTTTTTTTTTCAGAAGAAATCTTTTTGCACTCTATAGAGGTGACTTCAGGGTTATTTCTCCAGCATCTATTCGTAGTGGCATGTCACTTTGTGTGCGTTATAACAATTTAACTAAACATACATACATTTTTGTGATAATTTTCTATTTATTCATTTTTTTCACATCTTTAAGTTCTAAATAATTAAAATAATTGTTTGAGTGTCATCACCATAAATGCTTTCATTTTAAAATAATAAGTCTTTCATAACAGTGGTTCTAAAACAGTATGGTCTATAGAACACTTTAGGTTAATTTATTCTGATACTGTGGTTTAAATTTAAGTACATTTGTAAAATTAGATTTACCTCCACAGTCTAACAGTATGAAATATGCTGGCTACCAAATTTCATACATTATTTTTGGTAAGTATTCAATGCCAGTTACTGCCATTTTCAATTTGAAATTGAAAAAAAAATAAAAAAAGGAAAACAATGATAATATAATGAAACAATTAACTGTTTGTAACTTCAAGAACTAGAAGAGTCAAGTGCTTTTCCCTAGATACTGTCATTAAGAATCCAACCATATTTTGGGGGTTTTCTTATTTTTTCTTCCTTTCAACAAAATTCATTTAATTATAGCCTATATGTCAGTTTTAATATTTCTTATATAAAAACATTATATGTGTTATGCTGGCCTGCTCTCAACCAAGTTCCAACTCATGGTATCACAACTATCCCAAAGAAAATTAATTTCATAAATTTTAATTACCTGTGAGGTATTTATCATTACTCAAGTAAAAAGAGTGATCATAGCTTAATCTTAGCACTCAAACATAACGTAATTATATTTTTTTTCTACTTCAAATCATAAATAATAATTCTCTAGGTATGTTTGGCTGTAGCGCTGTGTTCATTAGGTCTGCAAAATAAAATTACCATTAGTTGGCACTAACTTGGACTCTCATAAAGTGTGTTACTTGAATGCATGTTTTGCCAAGTCAATTTAGTAGATGGAAAGTTTCATGCATTGATGTCGTCACTGATTTGAGGGTTATAACCATGATAATTGTCAAAATAATCTGTTTCCAGGCTACATGTTGCTGTGCCTGGTTTTGTTCATGGTTTTCATCACGCTCATCATCTCTGTAATTGTATTGGTCAATGGAGCCTCCAACTGGTACATGATACAAATCCAGTTTATTGCGTGAGTATTTTTTTTTTCCCCCGCTGGTTTTTTAAAAATATTTTTTATTTACATTTACAAAAAAAATTTTTAAAACTGGCATTGTAATTGGTCACCAGAAATTTTTTGAAAGAAATTTTGTTGATGGAAAATTGATAGACAGAAATTTGATCAAACAGAAATTTGTTCTAATCTAAATTTGTTCTAATCTTTTTTTCAGTTCACACATTAAAATTTTAGTAAAATTTCTTATAATGCATTCAAAAAGAAATTTGACACAAAATTTTAACTTGTGAATTGAAAAAAAGATTAGAGAAATTTTTGCTTGGATCAAATTTTCGTAAATCAATTTTCCATCGCCGAAATTTCTTTCAAACGAATTTCTGGGTACGACTGTAATGATTTCTTATTTTAATTTTGTTCATAATGCATATTTAAACATAAAAAATAGTGGGGGTCCCCAAGGCTTTTTCATGGATTTTTTAAGAACCACTGTGTAGGGGAAAGTATCTCAAACTTTCCCCTCACAAAATACTATTTTGTCAATGTTAGTGGTGTTGACAGCAGAAATTCTGTTGTGTGGGTAAGTGTGGCTCTAATAGTGAAGTGTTGATTGGCTCAATTACGTAGAAACTGGTCACCAACTAGATATAAATGTTGTTGGTTTTTTTTTGGGGGGGGGGGGGGGGGGGGAGAGGTGGAGGCAGGAGTTTGCAGATAACTGAAATTACAAAGGGGATCTCAAGTCAACTTTTTTGTTGCAACAGTAGCATGCAGACATTTCAAGCTGCAGAATTGCGCCTTGACCGTGTTACCATAGAGCTAGTGGTCATCTGGGATAATTAATTTCTAGCAATAATTTTGCTCTGAACAAGCCAGTCTCAACTAGGACCTCTGGTGAATCACAAGCTACATGCTTGGAGAACAGTTATTTTCTTTTATTATTTAGATGAAGGGCTTCAAACGATCAAAGTAATTTTCATAATATACTAAGTATTAACAAAACATTTTCTTTTTTTAATTTGCAATAAATTTTAGAATCTACAAAACTAATTTCTTTTTTCTTTTTGTTTTAAAAAAAACAAACAAAAAACCTGTTTTTGTTCTGTCTAGTGCCAGCACGGTGTTAGGGCTGTTGGTCATGGGCGTGCAACTTCTGTTTTCAAAGTTTTATTTTTTACAAGGAGATGGCACCCATTTACGACTGGACAACAGGTGAATCAAGGTCTTGGTCTGACTGATTGGTTAAGCGTTCCGGGGAGACTGCAGAATTTACATTAACGAAAGAGTATTTAATCAGCATGCTAAAAAATATAAAAGAATTGGAAGGTGGCTTTTTTTTTTTAAGCAACTATTTTTAAAAAGCAAAAATAAGTTTTGCAGTTGCAATCAAACTTACAAACTTAGAGCTTAAACCTTTTTTTTAGTGGAGTTTTTTTTTTAAACAGATTTTTTAAAAATATGCATGAGTGTATTAAATTTGAAATAACCATTTTAAAAAATTCGTAAACACCCCCAATGTGTCAACCTTTGAATTGTGTGCCTTTGGTATTAACATTCAAACGATCTAAATGTAATTGTGAAAAGCTTCTCATTTTTTTACATTCTTAGGCGGCTTTACTTCATCACAACATATTTCTTGTTGTTCTATAATATTTTCCTGGGCTTCGCCTCCTGTTTGATGCGTGTCACCAAGTCTTTGATGATAGGCACCCTGATGATGTCAAGACTGGACATAAGTGTTTTACCAGACGAGTTTCACTCTTTCGACTCAGGTACTCTTTAAATCCGTGATTAATTATTTAGAGGTGCTTTAAAGATAATAATTTATTTTACTGTTTATATTCCGCGATTTCCTGATTTTCTCATTTTCTTCTTTACCTTTACAACAGTGGAGTATAGACCTCAGTAGAACATAGGCTCAGTGGAGCATAGGCCTCAGTAGAACATAGGCTCAGTGGAGCATGGGCCTCAGTAGAACATAGGCTCAGTGGAGCATAGGCCTCAGTAGAACATAGGCTCAGTGGAGTATAGGCCTCAGTAGAACATAGGCTCAGTGGAGAATAGGCCTCAGTAGAACATAGGCTCAGTGGAGTATAGGCCTCAGTAGAACATAGGCTCAGTGGAGTATAGGCCTCAGTAGAACATAGGCTCAGTGGAGCATAGGCCTCAGTAGAACATAGGCTCAGTGGAGTATAGGCCTCAGTAGAACATAGGCTCAGTGGAGCATGGGCCTCAGTAGAACCGAGGCTCAGTGGAGTATAGGCCCCAGTAGAGCCTAGGCTCAGTGGGGCATGGGCTCAATTAGACCCTAGGCTAAGTGGAGTATAGGCTCAGTAGAACCTAGGCTCAGTGGAGCATGGGCCTGAGTAGAACATAGGCTCTGTGGAGCATGGGCCTCAGTAGAACATAGGCTCTGTGGAGCATGGGCCTCAGTAGAACCTAGGCTCAGTGGAGTATAGGCTCAGTAGAACCTAGGCTCAGTGGAGCATGGGCCTCAGTAGAACATAGGCTCATTGGAGCATGGGCCTCAGTAGAACATAGGCTCAGTGGAGCATGGGCCTCAGTAGAACCTAGGCTCAGTGGAGTATAGGCTCAGTAGAACCTAGGCTCAGTGGAGCATGGGCCTCAGTAGAACATAGGCTCACTGGAGCATAGGCCTCAGTAGAAGCTAGGCTCAGTGGAGCATTGGCCCATTAGAACCTCGTCCAAGTGGAACATAGGCCCCAATAGAATCTAAGCTCAGTGAAGCATAGGCCATAAACAATGTCTTTCCATGCCCTCGTGCCTATTGCTGTTTTTCTCTAACTCTTTAGTAATTAACTCCTTACCGACTTTTCTTCGCCAGGGCTCTTGGGCCTTCCCCATCCTCTTGACTGCTCCATAACAGTGCTCTTAGCCCTTCCCCATCCTCTTCTTGACTGCTCCATAACAGTGCTCTTGGGCCTTCCCCATCCTCCTCCTGACTGCGCTCCATAACAGTGCTCTCCACTTTATAATCGGCCCTGGTTTTAATACCATGAGAAGACCAGCCAATTTCCTGGCAACCTCAACATTTTTATTGTTTAGTGGTTTTCTCTGATTTTAACCAAGACTGTTGAATTCATCTGACATTTTCTCCCTTCTCACGCTGCCCCTCCGCGTGAACCGAGTAAGAGTTTGTTTTATATCGACCTTTTGGCTAGGCTACACTGTGTACCATGGATACATCCACATGGAGGCCTCACACACAAATCCGGTGATCATCGTGTTCATCCGTCTCCTCCAGACTTTAAGCAGGAACAGAAAAAAGCATTCTGCCAATCAGTTGTGTGGTACTTTTGACGTGTCACCGCCAGGGGTCAGGAAGGAGTACAGCATAGAGGAAATAAAAGGTACATTCAATGAGTAAGAGGGGGGTGTGGGGTGTGTGTAATCTATATTTAAAAATTTCATGTCACATGACCAAGTAAATTGATTGTAAATTTCTTATCCTGAACCAGCAGCATTTGTCAGTTGAAAAGCTGTCCTTGAAATGTGCTGTTTTAACTTAAAGTTTAGTACACTTGTGTTTTGCACAAATGTACACTGGTTTTGTTCTGGATTTTAATATAAATGAATACGAATTAATGGGAAATTCCTTTTAGGGGGCATTGACTTGCTCATTATAATTGGACATTTAGTATGATATATCTAATTATGATATATCTAATTAAATATGTTAATATAGTATATTTTAAATTGTATGCTTCTAATCAAAAGAAAAAATCCTAATTTTATTTTTACATTTCTAGAAGGCTGTATCATTACCAGTTATAGCATTTCATAGGAAATAACTCATAAATGTCAAGTCCTAACTGAAGTTGACGATTTTTACCATCACCATTTTATCAGTGATCTGCACTTCTATTTCGTATTGCTGGGATGATATGCTATTATTAGTGTGTCCTAACTGCAACATTTCCCATTAAGATTGTGTTCTGTAACCCAGAGCTCTAGCACCTGGACCATTCTTGTGGTATTATTATTGCACCATCTCTGCTGCATCCCCTCTCAGCGGTTACCGGAAATTTGATCGAAAGAAATTTCGTCGACGGTAAATTGATCAACGGAAATTTGATAGAACAGAAAATTTTTGTCAAATCTTTTGTTCAGCTCAGGCGTTAAAATTTTCTTCAAATTTCTTTTTGAACGCACTATACTATATAGTAAAACAAAATAATGTGTTCAAATAGAAATTTGAAGCAAAATTTTAACGTAAAAACTGAAGAAAAAAAAATAGATCAAATTTCCGTTCGATCAAATTACCTTCGACAAAATTTCTTTCAATCAAATTAACCGGATACAGCTCTCATCCTCACCCACAAGCACAAGTCCTATTGTTGGTGTGTTGTTTGTGTGTTTTTGGCGTGTTGTTGGCATGTTGTTGGTGTATTGTTGGTGTGTTGTTGGTGTATTTTTGGTGTGTTGTTGGCATGTTGTTGGTGTGTTGTTGGGGTGTTGTTGCTGTATTGTTGGTGTGTTGTTGGTTTATTGTTGGTGTGTTGATGGTGTGTTTTCTGAAACCCCAAACTCCAGCACTGCTACTACTTGTTTGACTGTTGTTGATGTTTTTTTCTTCCCTCTCCCCCCCCCCCACCCACCCCCACAGCCAGAAAGAAAGTCAACACCAAGGTGGAGGCCATCTACTCTGGGGCCAGGTTCAATTGGCTGATAGCCTACACGCTGCTTCAGAATCCTACGGTAAGAAAAAACATAGGAACTTTTTTCTCTTTTTTTTTGTACATACACTTTGGGTTGTTATCAGCCTGAGAGATTATCACTGAATGGTTGAATGGACGTTGGGCTAATTTATCAGCAGGAGCAACCCCAAAAATTGATGTCATTCTAACAGGGACGGTCCTGCTGCTAGAAACTGATCCAGAGAAGATTATAAACCAACAAAAGCTGGTGGTCACCGGTGGTCACTGGTGGTCGCTGGTTGTTGCTGTTAGGATCTTATAATTTTTAAAAAGAAATAGCAATGTGTGGCACTTTCTGTAAATAGTTTCATGTTAACAATGCCATTTTAATGTCATCTAACATCTGTGGCATTTTAATGTCATCTACCATCTGTGGCATTTAATGTCATCTACCATCTGTGGCATTTTTATGTCATCTACCATATGTGGCATTTTAATGTCATCTACCATCTGTGGCATTTTAATTTCATCTACCATCTGTGACATTTTAATGTCATCACCATGTGTGGCATTTTAATCTCATTTACCATCTGTGACATTTCAATGTCATCTACCATCTGTGGCATTTCAATGTCAGCCACCATCTCTCTGTGTGCTTCCCTCCCCACAGATCCGAATCTACCGGAGAGGTTTCATCCAGCTCCTCAACCTTGCAGTCAAAGAAGGTCTGAAAATTCCCATCAGCGACAAGCCAATTTATTTGATACTCTCCCAGCTCCAACATGGACAGAAAAAGAAGAAAAAGAAATTTGCTGGGGCTAAAATGCGCTCCGAGTCGCCCACAATAGGGAAGAACACGCCTCGGAGGAGATCAGTCAGCTATCAACAGGATACATTCTCTAAAAAATCCAGTAAGAAAACAATGAAGAAGACCACGGCGAAGCCGCCTTCTGCCTCAACCATGACCGTAACCTCCACAGTAATGTCTGGCACAACGGCACAAACCAAAGAGGTGACAAGCTACAGCATGTTGAACACGGCATCTGCCATGAGCATGAGCATTCGTGAAAACTGAGGGTTTGCTTGACGTGCTCTCAAAATGAGCAGTTGATACAGGCTGTCCCCAAATGAAGACTTTTCGCTGCCGGCTGTGATCAGCTGACGACAGGGCTGTGTAGGTAGAAAAAACTTTTGACACTATTCAGGCCGATGATTTCCGTTGTCAGTTCCTTTATATTTTCCATAAAGCTGTTCTGCGGAGGAACAACTCTACATTTGTTCAATGATGGTACCAGGAAGGGAGAATTTGGGATCCAAAAATAGTTAGAACACTAATCAATCACAGCACTATCTCTACTGTATTTAAATGTTAAGCGAATGTAGACAATGGCCCATGCAAAGAGAATGTAGGTAATGACCAATTTAAAAAGAATATAGAAAAAGGTCCATTTAAAAAGAATGTTGATTATGGCCCATTTTAAAAAAATTTAGATAATGAGCCACTCAAAGAGAATGTTGATAATGGCCAACTTAAAAGGAATGTTGATAATGGCCCATACAAAAGTGGTTATGGGCTAACTGCCCATTTAATTGAACATTCTAAGGCATTGAATCATGACCGCCTCTAATTAATTTTCAAAATTATTCATACATGTCATAACACAATTATTATATGTCCTGGCTATGACCATTTTTTCTCTTCATTTTAATATATATGGATATATATATATATATATATATATTTATATACAATTATTATATAATTGTGATTGAGTGAAGAATGATTTATAAAATTTATCTAATGAATTTGTGAATTACTGGTTTTACTTTATTTAGTACAAATAATATATAAATCATGCATGATTGTTTCTTTTTCATTCATAATCATATACTCCACATAATTGCGGTAGAAATATGAATTTTTAAAAAACTTAAAAGAATAAAAGAATTTTATGTGAATTTTTATTTTTTTAACCTGTACCGGTAAAATAAAAGTAAAACTTTGACAATGCCTTTGTATTTTTTACTGTTCTTGAACTAAAAGAACACCAAATAAATAAAAAAACATGCTTAGAATTGGATTTAAATAGATCATCCATCTGGTATTGCTGAGGAAATCCATAGT